TTTTTCCCTAATTCCGCCTTTCTCAGTTCATTGTTGTGTACTTCATTATCATCTTGAATAAAAAACTATACTTCGCTCCTGCTTTGAACAGCGACATGCAGCTGTAACACGTCCAGTTGTCTAACAAATGATTGAAGGTCCTTCTAGACTCGCATCACTGTTATATGCACTACCAGATATATCAAACATAAAAATAATTAGACAGATAGTTTACTAATACGTGAGCTAGAGAAATGAGGTCATCTACAGGAGGTCGTCTATAAATTACCTAAAATCACTGAAGTGAGACAGGGAATTTTATTCCAGCTCGAGTGATAAAAAAATTCAAAGTAGAAAAAATTAAGAGTAAGACTGCAAATATTGCCAAACTACGTAACCGGACAATATCGTAGCGTTCTCTAGCAAAGCCGTTAACACCTTGCTTCAACAACGATCCGTTCAACCTGTTAGACTCAAGCTGTTTGCTCAAATTGCCCTTTGCAGGAACATTTCAATAGTTTTGGTTTATTTTCTTCGCCAATCAAATATAATATAACTCGATGTGAGACGATGTGACGACTTACAATCAAAATGCGCAGCTTGGTCAGTAGTATGCCAATTATGCTCTATCTGAGAACGGAATTACCATATTTTAAACGTATTTTTTCCCTGAGTATTGTCATATGTATTTTACTATTTGAAATAGTTCCATAAACAAACGCATACAAGATTATAGATAATAATATATTTTTAAAACCGTTTCTTTCACTGCATGGTCGAAAACAAACGAATTTCTCCATCTCGAGATGTCAGTCTCGATTTTAGTGGAACATCAAGTTTAACCTAGTTAAAACAAATATTTATTTTGTACAGACATGACTCATTTCAAGTAATTTTTGATCAAAATTTTTTTTTTCATTCAAACGGATATTAATACTGGATTGCTTTTTATGTTTCTTTATACATGTATTGAAAATATACGAGAATAAAAACGTTTTTGACGAATTTAAATTGCTTACGGTTTTAGATGGAAGAGGAATATGAAAAAATGGTTGGCAAAATATCAACTATATAAGCTTCATCGCCTCGCGCTATGCGTGAAAAGTTCAGTTCCAAGTTTCGAACGAGCAAATTTCGTAAACAAAAGCTAATTCTGATGCAGTAGACTCACATAACGAAACATTTACAGGATTAGTGGATCCTAAGAATAAACTGCACTGTTTCTCATCAGTATCGTTTCTAAAACGATAAAAAGATAAAAAAGATAGCATATTAAAGCCCCTCGAGCAAAATTTCTTCGCTTGAGATAACTAATTAATAAAAGTTAAAAGATTATTTGTTGACTTTCGTGGGTCAGTGATTGTAAACAGATCAAAATAAAAGGAACTTGTAGGCGTTCGCTACATGTCGAAGATCCTACTCTGATTTGATAGCATAGATGATCACATGACTGTGTGTGTGCTTAAGACCAGCCCATCGTATTCATCTTAAGATCAGTCAAAGACAAAGTAACACCAGAGTTAATTTTCACGGTAAACAGACATCTGGGAAGGATTCTTTGTTTTTATTTAGATCGGAGCTGATTGTAAAGCGATCGTTATAGCCATCGGCCACCGACTGAAGACATGTCTTTACTAGGCTCTTATCCGTGTTCAAATATTTCGGCTCCTACAAGCCTCAGCATCACCTCGGCAGCAATYTGCTCTGTTTTGACAGTCACAGCCGTAGTAGGGAACATTCTCGTTCTTCTTGCTGTTGTCATTGACCCCAACCGCAATCTTCGCTCGCCGTTCAACTTCCTTGTGGCRAATTTAGCTGCTGCAGATCTGATTGTAGGRTGCTTCGCTCTTCCAATGTCGGTAGAGTTCTACGTTCGTGAGGCTTTAGAAGGCACAAGCGTCAAACCCTGGGATCACGCCAGACGTGTAGGTTATTTTATATCTAGCACAGCATCGCTATTGAGYCTAGCTGCTTTGACTGTTGATCGATTTGTCGCCATAACCTATCCAATGAAATATCGAGCCAAGCTTAGTCCAAAACGAACACTCTTTGTCTCAGTTTCACTATGGACTGTGTCTATCGCCTTTCCGTTTTTGTACTTCGAAGTTGGATATTTGAAATACCAATTCGTATTCGCCAACACTGCTGTCATAGCAACTTTTATCGTTTTATGTCTGACCTACGCTAAAGTTTTCAAAAGCTTCAAGTCGCAAGTGCGAAGCTGGGACACTCTTCATACCAGCAGTGAAGAAAATCAAATCAAAAGGAGAACAATTCTATGGGARAAGAAGGTTACAAAAACATTCCTGATCATGTTGACGCTTTTTATCTCCTGTTTCCTGCCTTCGCTGATTCTCATATATATCATCAGTTTTTGTGGGAACTGTAACTGTATCTTTATTCATTGGGCTAGGGATATTAACTACTACTTAACGATGGCAAATTCGACCATGAATCCCTTCGTTTTTGCCTGGCGACTCAAAACATACAGGAGTGCTTTCATGAAGATTTTAACGTGTGGGGAAATTGGAAAACGTATGGTATCTGTCACGGACAGTTTCATGTCATGGAAAGGACAGTTCAATGTATCAATGACATCTTTAGGACCTCCATCTTCTAATTCTTTACCAGGTGCAAGCTAATCATGATCAGGAAGATAAGTCGAAGGACTGCGAGGTCAGTCACGCATGAAAAAATGCTGAAAGTACAATATATTAAATTATGAGAATATGTAGACCGCATGGCACTTATGAAATACATGAAGATATAGAAATATAGATAGTAATTACCGCTACCTAACATCTATTTCACCCCGGCCTGCTCTCAATCTGACCTCTAGCTCAGCTGGTAGAGCATCGGTAGTACAATTCCGAAGGTCGTGGGTTCGATTCCCAGCGAGGTCTGAAATTAATTTTTCCGAATTTAATTCCAAAGGTCTTTCGCCCGGAATAACCTTGTTCCCAAGCACTATAACTTATCTATATTCTATATCTTCATATATCTTGAATTACAATATCCATACTTAATATTTTTTTATTTCCGTGTTATCTTTTTATCTTTGATGCTATATAAAATTACGTAATTTTATATGTTTAAGTTTTTAACTCTCATATTCAATTTATTCAAAAATGGTTCAAATTTCTTCATTCGTTTACAGTATTTCAATCTAGCCATGAAATTAGAAGCCATAACTACCATTTATCCTTTTGAATTTGTTTATTTATTAAACGCTTTCTCGAAAAGTCTTGACAAAAGGAAAGTATRTATTTGGTGATATCACGCGACAGCTTTACAAATTTTTTGTTTTCATTTCCGTAATTTTAATAAAGTCGGCGAAACTTTGTCATTACATTTAAGGAAATACAATGTACTCAATTTAACATACACTTGAGGATATTCAATACGYCTTACTAAGATGCGGCATCCCCAATAACATATGGGCTTAGATTTCCCGTTGCGGGGCTGAAAATCACGAGCGCACGAATCAACTTTTTTTTTACCTCGACGGCTGGAGAATAGCGTACAGCCAAAATACAGTTGGTTCTTACAGCACGTCAAGAGAAGTTAAGACGTGCGGTTCTTTAATCACTGATTGGCGAATTTCAAAGAATCCCCTCGGCCAGCTGATTGGCAGATGCGCAGTTACTTAGCATTAGTACCAGTACCAATGTTTGAGAGGCGAGYCGACACGCTTTGGTGAGAAAATTTCCGCCAAATCCGCAGGTCGCCCTACAAAATAGGATAACGAGGAAAATTTTGGGGGGAGGGGGGTCTCCCCTTCCATCCATTCATCCTCCCTTTTCTGTCTTTCTGCTCATCTACCTATTCATTTGTTCATCCATTCCTTTTTATTTATTCCATCTTATTCCATCTTCATCTTCTTTTCATYCATCTTTTCATGTTGTTTATCCATCCATTCCATTWATCCAAGAGAGCRTAAATAAGAGAGGGAAACTACGCGCTGTCATGTAAATTCCCGGTTGGGCTATTTTTAGTAACCGGATGCAGTTTGAATTTCGACTTGTGCGCGCGCACTCTTTCCGTTTATTGTTTTGATCGCTAATCCTTCCTTCCTACCGTCCTTCGTTCGATCTTCCGTTCGTTCGTTCATTCATTCATTCGTTCTTCGTTCATTCTCTTCAGAATGAATACTTCAAAACAATTGTCTTTCAAATTTACCTTGTCCAGTACCCATGTCCCATCTGCCATATTTCCACAGGAACCCCAATGAAACAGGCTGACCCGGAAGCAACCCTAGCTAGCCTCGTGTCATGATCGATGGACGGAAATATTCTTTGACACCAACCATCAAAACASGGCTAAAAACATCGAATACAAGTTTTGATTACGAATATAAACTCGAAAGCGAAAGGATACGGACCTTGAGGTATATATGAGCGTAAGTAAGATTTTAAAAATCTATTTTTAATCGTTCGTGTATGTGCCATCTTGTCAGAGTTTGCTCAAATGATTTAGCTATAAACTTTCTAAAAGAATTAACAATGACTACACTGAGCTATTAAGCTTCATGCTTAATGTTTGAGTTATATCTTGCTATGAATTTTCTTGATGAACCTTTTATTGATGATATCTGAGCACGCCTGCTTGTCACAAGACCTGTTTAATTGCTAATAATAAATTGCTTGGAAAAAATATTGAATAAGTGCCTTCGTCGCTTACTTAATCTTGAAATGCGGAAATWTAACTTAAAATTAAGGTAATCGAACGATATATTCACTAATCGTAGTTGGAAACCAAACAAGAAACGACACAAATCAAGTGGAAGTAAATAAATGAAATTTGTAGAATAYTTTAGGTTTCCAATTGAAGAGGTTGTATACATGAGAAATTCTTCTATTGCATTTTGCTTGTTTGACTACTTTAATCCCCCACCCCCCCCCCCTACCCTCTCCGATTTTTTTTATCTATAGGCATTTTTTTATAATTCTCATAATGCCTTAATTTCTTCACATGACAAATTTATTCTTTTAAATTTAATTTCGAAAAAAAATCAAAATAATAAATTAAAAAGGCATTGTAGAATTTATTAAAAAGATCTATAGTTATTTATAAAATAACTGTTATGAATGTTGCGTTCTGATTGGTTTGGAGTGCGTGCTTTATGAAAGCACATTGCATGCGTGCACACCTTCCGTTGCGTCATTCCTATCTATTATTGTAATTTGTATTTTATAAAAGAAATAAAAAAACTTGCTTGCTGTGCTGTGTGCAGTCATAAAGCACTTGGGGATTGGCAGAACACTCGAGAAGTGTCCAGAAGCACTCCGCTACGCGTTGTGCTTCTCCTAACACTTCTCTCGTGTTCTGCCAACCCCCAGGTGCTTTATGACAGCACACAGCACGCACATGCGTTTTCTATTTCTTCAATATTACACAGTAAAATACAGCTTTGCACAAATTTTAACTAAATTTGATTTCATTYATTCTAAACTTTCAGATTATATTACCCAGTCTCTGAAATCCAAGAGCAAAGAGTTAGGAGAGACAGACAGTAAAGAAAAAAGCTGCCAACTCTTTCTGGCGTTTCCTMATAGAAGCAGGATCAATCTCTTCAATAGAAAACAATTTGTTCAAAACTGTCTAAAAGGAAAGAGGAAAATAGCAAGATGAAGTTGTGATGAAGAGCAAGATATTTTGTATCATCCTCAGCAACACTGCAAGAGCCTAGAAGTTTATTCAACTGGGATAAACCAGCTTTCAAGATAGTGATTTTTTTAACTTTTACTTAAATTCTGGACTCCCATTTTTTTTCCTTTTTTTTTTCATTTCCAAAATGTCTTTATTTGGTGCATATCCATGTGTGAACATGACTWTCCCTCCCAGTTATATTTCATTCACTACAGCATCCATTTTCATCCCACTGACTCTCCTTACAGTCACTGGTAACTTACTGGTGTTGCTTGCCATCTTTGTGGATCCATATCGTGATTTAAAATCACCTTTCAATTACTTTGTTGCCAATCTAGCTGTGGCAGACTTGTTAGTTGG